CCTCTCCTCTCTCCTCTCCTCTCCTCTCCTCTCCTCTCCTCTCAATTTCTCTTCTTTCCTCTTTTCTCTCCTCTTTAATCCACTTCTCCTCGCAGCGGCCGACTGGATCGAGGACTCGGAAGTGAGAAGTTGTGAGTGAGTAGTTGGACCGGAGATTTTCCTGGCTCCAGAGGTCTATATGCAGAGTGGCGCTGGCGCAGAGCAGAATTTGCCATCCAATGTCGAGCCCGAAGACGAGCTCCAGCGGGGCGAACCCGGTCTCACGATGCGTCCTGATCGGGGTTGACGGCTCCGATCATTCGGACAAGGCGTTGCGCTACTACCTCGACTGGCTCGTGCGACCCAACGACAGCGTCACTCTGTTCTGCGTGATCGAGCCGCCCTCGTTGCCCGCCTTCAGTATCACCAGCCTCAGCTCCGTGCCCACTGAGGAGTGGGGCAAAATCATGCAGACGCGAGTCCTCGAATTGGCCAACATAGAAAACAACAGCCTGGCTGACTGTCTCGCCAAGCGGGTCAACGCCCGTTTCCTCACTCAGGACGCCAGCCATGTCGGCGAGGCCATCGTGAAACAGGCCGACAAACAGGCCGCCGACCTCGTCGTGCTGGGCAGTCGAGGTCTGGGCGCGGTGAAACGTACCATCTTGGGAAGTGTTAGCGACTATGTGTTGCATCACATCGACCGGCCCGTCTGTGTGATACCACAGGCCAGCTACTCGGCCCGCCGTAGCAACAAATAGGCAACTCTTACCTCCTCCAACCTCTTAAATATACACAATTGTCACTGTATGTATGTATGTATGTTTATGTGTGTGCACACGAGCAAACACAAAAGTTAGTGAGCTGTGGACGCGGATTCTACCAGTTTCCGATGTGTTTGTGTCCAGTTTGATTGTTTGACTGAAAGCCATCAGGTTCCAAGTCACCTCGTGCCGGATTTACTCATGTCCAAGACCGGCCAGGCAAGCGGACCACTCGATCATCCTTCATTGTTGTCAGGATCACTCGCTCAACTGGCGAAGGACCTACAGGCCAGCGTTGTAGTGGTCTACTTCGCCATGAAAGCGAGTATTTCTTTCACTTTTTTGCTCTTACTCTATGTCAATGTCAACTAATCGACGACGGCAAGTCAAGCTAAAAGGGAACTCGCCTCAGTTACTAGCTCAGATCCTCTCTGACTCACTGATGCCAAAACGACTTGCGCGCACACACACACATATATATTTTCATGTATGTGGGTATTTGTTGGCATACGTCTCCTTGCCTATAGATACATATGTGCATGTAGTTCACTAGTTTAGAAACCCTTGTTTGCCGGACCTGGAAGATTAGTGAAGACCTTCGTCAAGACCCTTCAAATGGACCTCCTAAATAAATTATCACTCATCTTACTGTCTGATATCATCGAATTGTGGAGCAAAGTTTCAATATAAGCAACTTTAGATTCTACAAGTACTTCTTCAATACGAAGGTGGCATGAGCTGATTAAATGATAGTCTTGATTTAAACGACAAACACACATTTGCTTAATCGACAATTCTACTATAGAAACGTGCATTTGAAGAGGCCTGTATTGCTTTAAACGTCACATCTACCCTATGACTAACTGGCACCCGTTTTTGTGTAGTCGAGTGGTAAACGTTGCCACGATACTCACGACCAGGTATAGAATCGAACTGGAGGTGCAGATGAGGCGAAACCACAGTTCAGTGTGGATGATAATACTTTTTAGGAGGCGAATTTTGGGAAAAATTTGAGTATCACTCCTTAAATCACCTTAAGCGACATCGGATGACTTTATTTTCATGCAGCATAAGTGATTGCATAATTGACTTTATAGTTGAGTAGTTGACTGTAGGCAGCAGGTTGCTCGCGAACATCAACATATCGAAGAGATGGCTTGATTTGTCAGATTAATTTCACGACCTCAAGCATCCCAACCTGTATTCTCCAAACTAGACCTTAAGTCTCGACACCCGGTCAGGTTTTGTCATCGCTCCCAGTGGGATTCGAAATGTGGTCGTGAAGTTCACTGGGGAATACTCTACGCTGGTCAAATTTCCTGTCGTTAGATGACATTTTGGCTTTTTAGCCCACGGTTGTTAGGTCTTCGGATCATTCTATCGTTAGCTGAGTTGCCACAAGTTATTAGGACACCATACTAGAAAACAGGTACGAAGAAAAGATTTTTTTCATGATTATCCTTGACTTACAAGCGTCGGCCTCACTCCTATATTGAGTGTATATATATGGTAAAGAGATCCGTGAATCGATCTCACCAAAAAGACGATGGTGTATTCCTCCTGTCCACTTGCCGTTTGGTTTTAGTGGAACATTTCAATTAATGCACTCCTCGGGACAATCCTCTTTAATTCTGGTAAAAACTTGACATGATCCATCAAAGCAAGCTACCATTTTTACAATCAGGTGGAGTCAGTGGTTCTGGTTCTAATTACATTCACGTCCTAGATAATGTCTGCAATATTGCCAGATATGTGCCCGACATTACGCGATGAAAATGTCGCATAAAAGAACGATTACTCAACCCTAAGTTTCGAGGATAGGTGTTCTTATTGCTTTCTTTGTCGGTTTTGCGCCCTTACGTACATACGAGC